ATTTCCACTACATTTGAGTCCAGCCCAAGTTGGTGAGATAGACTGGTAACAGGATCAAAGGGGAATATACTCGATCACTCTCATCGTTGTTTCTAGTGCAACCGACCTTACAATACAAACTGATCACAATTCGTGATAAATTGACATTGAAATGCCTTCTCACCCAGAGAAATCATAAAATGTGATTGTTCCATAAAATCAAAACATTTGCATTAATAAAAGAGAGGATGATTGTCTATGGTTGGATCAAAGCATTATTGAGGTAAAGCAACTTTATTCTGCAATAATTTGCATTAGAATGTAATAATGACGTGTTGAATGCTGATATTGAAAACAAAAAAACACATGGTAATGAAAGTTTTGGTAAGGAGAAAAGAGGGTTATTTTGTCAAGTAGTGAGTCACTGAGTGACAATGAACAATTGTGGGACGTTACACATTTCCAGTCGAAATGTATTTGGGGTTGTACTGCAGAAGTGATGTGGAAAAGAAATGTTGCTTTGCTGCAAATCAAACTGTATCAGACTCTGTAAACACGGGTGAGATGTGCAAGACCGTTTTCAAAACTAAAACTTGAATAAACCTATTGCACTTTTTCCAGTATCTATTGCATTCCAAAAAGAAATTAATATGAAATTAAACATGAATTATGATCTGCATTTTTCAAATGTACTACACACTAAAATAAGGCAGAAAATGCATCAAAAACTAAAATAACTAATATCACAAAGGAACGTTTTATTTCCCTTATATTTTCTAAATGATTGTTCTTTTATAGAACTGCACATTTTAAATTGAGATGAAAAATGCTTGAAAATAGACAAGTTAGATTTTTATTCATAGGTTTTGAAAACAATATTTTATAATCAGAATATTCCCGGTAATGCTAATCACAGCAGTTTGTGAGTAGTAAGTGAATTTTTTTGTTTCAATTACATTGAATCAATTGACAAAGCTGGCAAGGAATTAATTGCTTCCCAAGGTGCACTCAATCGAATGTTACTGGGGACATTACACAACCAAGTCACCCCTCCGGTGCACAAATCTGGTTGTTGAACTTGATCCAGTACCTTAACTTAGAAACTCAACCACGTAAAAAGGAAAGGACAGATGTGCAATACAGTAATTTGGTATGAATCAGAAAATAAATAACATTCAGGCATGAAGCCAGTTTATGTAAGCTTGGACACTTTGGGTTCATAGGCTAAAGCCTCAGAGCAACTTTGCTAGTACGATGAAATCAACCTTATAGGAGGGAACAGGGAGTCAGGGTCTCAGGGTTTGTTTCTGCAGGTGTTGTGGCACGCACTCAAATTGAGAAGACAGGCAAATGAGAGCTGATAATGTGATGTACTACACGGGAGATTAGAAACTAAATTCTTAGCACAGAGGGTGGTTAAAATGTGGAATTGTCTGGCAGAAACTATCATAGAAACAATATTCCCAAATTAAGCTGCTTGAGAATGAAAATAATATTAAATGAAGTGGGAATGAGCAAATCAGAATTAGACCAGCTGACTCCTGTGGAGTAAAATACCAATATGGATTTGATGGATGGGATGGTGCTATTATACTCTATGGTTCTATCATTTCATAATATTGCGATATATTTTAAAATAATTTTTCACAAATCTGCATACAGCTAGAAAAGTAAAATCACACAAAAATATGGAGCCTGCAAAGGCATAAAGGTCATAAAGAAAATGAATATCTTTAAGAATTATTACAATTTAGAATCTCCAATGTTCACTCGTGGGCAAACAGTTAAACAAAACATTGTGATTATATGTATGTTTCATTTTAAAAACTACATGAACGAACAATAATTAAATTATTGTAATGGCTTATGCGCAGATGCCATAGTAATTATATCTACGTAAACTGAATCCGTTTAGAAAGCTAAGCAGTGCTGATAATATTTTACAAATTTGTTTCATTGCTGTATAAATAAAATTGCTGGTCGACGAAAGGGTATCGCATATAATTAGACCGAGAGCCTATGGCTGCCCCCGACATCGTTATTGTCTATTTATAATCTGATAGACAAGAAAGATTTAGCATGTGTGATAACGTGCCTCTACAGCATGCTCACGATATACATCATACTTTGCTATTCATTGGCTAGGCAAATATTAAACTTTCATCTCTATCATTTTAAAGGGTGAAACCTCTTGAAAGGATTTCGTTGTAGCAAGCAAGATACATAAATGAATCGGAGCAAACAGGAATGATCCATTGATAGAAACCAGCAATGGCTCTTGTTAAAACATTTTGGATGTGGCTTTCCAGACGCCAGTGAGGTTATTGTCAGAGCTTTGCTGCTGCCCCATCCCCCCACTCAGTCGCCTTTGTAGAAACACTCAGTGGAAGAATGAGGAAATGATCGCTGGTTAATGCATTGCCACGGGCTCAAAATAAAACACGCTCAACATGTCCAAACAGAAACATTGTTATCAACCGCACACACACACAACAAAAAGAAGCTATTACGAAACACCGACTACGACCTCTGCAGAATGTGTTTATGGCACAAATGTGAGTGAAGCATGAAAGTTGCACTTCAGCTAAACACGGGCTGCCTTTCGGTTGCAGAGACCCAGGGTGATCGCTGCCAAATACGACACAATATTTTAACATCCTGCCCCCACAGAGAAAGAGAGAACATTGATTGTTCGGCATGCGGATTGAACAGCTTCTCGTTGCGTGTTCTGTACTCGAGCAAACGTTTGCTCTGCAAATATTGTCTCCTATGTGTTATCGGCTGGGAGGGGGGAAGGGAGCTCTAAGGGCAAGGACAAATAGCAAGAGGAATAAACACACAAGCCGTCGTCAGAGAAACACCACTCGCCAAACGGTTCAGTTGCCGCACATGCAGCAAATACACGCCACACCACAGATTATATACTGCAGAAACTACACAACACAGACTGCACAGACGAGGCGCCTATCTGCTGATTAAATCTGGGAGTTGCCCAGCTGCATCAAACCAGGATAACTCCATATTCTGGTTTGTGAATTTCAGACAGATTTGTTTTTGCGCCAGGGAAGAATTCCACTTAGATACGTATCGAAAAGCAATGGGCACACGTGAACGTGCCCATTGGCAGAAATACAGGGAAAAAAGTGAAAGATTCGCATTGATGGACACAAACGACACGTTTTATAATCCTGCAAGCAACACATAGAAATGCAAACGCATCTAAGTGACATTGCAGAGATATGCATAAAAATCATGCAAGTCATCCACCAGAGAGTAACGGACAGCATATACTATACTCAAGTCATATGCTACACACGCCAAAACGCCTACGTATCCAAATTTAAAATACAACGCGTATACACAAGTAGATGCAGCTATGATAAACGATGTAAGCACACAAACAAACACCATACACAGATCGTACATATAATTCCCAGACATAACATACAATAATTCTTTGGACATATACAAAAACAGACACGTACAGGAACATCCACAAATGTAAACAGAATCGCCATATATGGGCACATTATAAAATCTGGCGCACAAGAAAAAAAATTACAAAGGGACACGGAAAACTTTATTTTAAGGATTGCTGCAAATCGTCTCTAACATCAATTCCACCCTCGGGCGACTGTCTGTGTGGAGTTTGGACATTCTCCCTGTGTCTGCGTGGGTTTCCTCCTACAGTCCGAAGATGTTTAGGCTAGGTGGATTAGCCATGGAAAATGCAGGGTTACGGGGATAGGGTTGGGGTGGGTGGGTCTGGGTGGGATGTTTTGCGGAGGGGAAGCGGGCCGAATGGCTTGCTTCCGGACTTTAGGGATTCTATGATTTCATAATGTTTTCACTGCAGACTATCCATCTCGCTTGGGCTAATGCAATGGAACAGCAGTCCGCGTACCCTTAACATGGTAATTAAAAAAAAATCAGTCACTGTGTTCTTCATGGCTTGTCTAAAAGAACACAGATCAAAGATACTGCCGTTCCCTTGTAATTGCTCAACAATTAAAATACACTGGCAGAGCAAAAATTCTTACATGTTTAATTTAGGAACAACACAAACACCACAGAGGGAAATGATTCCTTTACAGATTAAAGTGAATGCTTCCAGCTGTCGTGCTTTTAAAATATGCTGGATAAAGAAGATTTTTTAAATAAAAGTGCTGTGTGCAAAGAAGAGTGATGTCCTTTCTGATTTTAAAGTTCAATGCTTGAAAGTATAATCTTAAGTAAAATGGTGGGCTATCGTTTTGGTTGAGGTGCTGAAAAGACTATTAGTCTAAATATTGTCTTCAATCTGTATTTTCTGGATGAATAGGAAAGTAATTTCTGGTAAAGGACAGATCGCTATAATTGTAAATAGGCATGAGATAAATTATCTGGATGGTGGTTACATTTTACTGCATATCTAAATCCCATGACCTAAGCGTTCTGGATGAAGGCTGAAGAAAATCTAAATGTGTGCCTTCCGTAGTATAAGTTCTGGATGAAGCTGCAAGTCAGTGTAACTAAGATAACAAGGTGTAGAGCTGGATGAACACAGCAGGCCAAGCAGCATCAGAAGAGCAGGAAGGCTGACGTTTCGGGCCTAGACCCTTCTTCAGAAACTATTTGTTTTATGTTCACTGGGTCCTACATTCTTGGATCTGGTTCAGCTGGGTGCTTGATTCAGGTACTGCTGGCTGTTGAGGGCTTTGACGAGACAAGGGTGGAAGTGTCTGAGTTTTGCAGGCTCTGCTAGCTAAACGCTCCACTGTTGGGAGTTGAATGCTCTAGTGCTGACTCTGTTGGAAGCTCCTTTGACACGCAGGGACTGACGACTCTGGCGCTGGAAGCTCAGCTCCACTCTCTCTCTCACACACACACACACACACACACACACAGATGGGAAAACGCGCAGCCAATGATTGAGCTCAGTTTCATAAAAGCTGCGCTCTGAGTGGCTGCAGGGCGAATGTCTGTGAAACAAAGGAGAAGAGCCGGGTCTGGAGCACAGACACAAATGTTCCGCCAGCAAAACACACAGACACTGCGAGGACAAGCCAATCCACCCAGTAAAACACACAGACACTGCGAGGACAAGCCAATCCACCCAGCAAAACACACAGACACTGCGAGGACAAGCCAATCCACCCAGAAAAGTACAGACACTGTGAGGACAAACCAATTCACACAGACATTGCGACGACAAGCCAATCCACCCGGCGAACACACATCCAGCCATACAGCCACAGTGGTATAGAACAGGCAGTCACATTAGCACAGCACTTGATGTAAAACAAACAAATGCATTTATATTACACGAAGACCAGGGCAAAACCGAGCCAATACCGATCGTAAGTACAGTAATCTCAGTGTGAAGTTTTACCAGTCCCACCAGACAATCGTCTCTTTTGGCAAGACAAGTAAGCGCTTTTCAAGTTCATGTTTTGTAAAATAAAACTTTACTCCCTGTTCCCAATTTTGAATAAAATCTAGGAGATTACTGAATACGATTTAGTTTTGATTCATCTTGTTGATTTGAAAATTGTGTCCGATGCTGTTTCCTTCTTTTTGGTTTTACTTCCATGATTTTTAAAAGAGGAAACAAATTTGTCTGTTAGTCCCTCGTGACACCTACCGTGCTAACTTGAGCTTGTAAATAGCTGCAAGTTTTTTTTTGCTGAAGTTGACTTTAATAAGCATTTACAACTGTCGATCACGAACGCTTCCCCTCCCCTGCTTTTATTGCTGATATGAAAAGAACATGCAGCGTGTACTGAAGATTTGTGTTTAATCTCACCCAGGCGATAACAGCTCCCTAAGAGATCCCCCCCATTAAAATTACAGATTTCAAGTTTTCCCCGGTTTTTTTTTGCTCTCCAAGGCGAGATCAGTTTTCTGATACGCTTGTCACCGATTTTTGTTCTCACGTCAAGCTACAGGGAATCTTGGATTCACGTGATTGAAGCTCGAACAGTAACAAAATAGCTGCTTTTAGATGGTTGGTTGTCGAAACCTCCCCCTTCAAATCCATCAACAATTCATTACAGCTTTTAGCTCTAAACGCCAGCTAATTAAACTGTGTAGCTCCTAATCCGAGTACAAGATGACAAAAAAAATGGTAAGCAGACAATCGTCAACGTTTGCAACAAACCGGTGCTGGTTATCTAAGATATCTTTTTTATACTCCTTCTTCCTCTCCCCACCCCCCCTCCTTCTCCCCCCCCCCCCCCCGTCCTCGTCTTGTTGTATTTGAAGCTGTCGATTATGAAATTACCACATGATTGACTGGCGTCGTTTCCTCGCTTAATTTGTATGTTTGACACTGTTTTGAGAGACGATGGTGCCACGTCCGGACAAAATGTGTAATCCAGTCCAGGTTTCTGCTGTTATTTTTTTCCCCTTGCCTAATTTATCCCAGGGTTAGCACATTCTGTCTTCTTTCAACCGGACGCTTGTAGTTTTCCTTTCTTTTCTCTCTGTGCCATAATCATTTACTGATCATGATGTTTCCAAAAGTATGCGGTTAAGGCGGAATGTGAAGTTTGAAAACTTTATCTTTTTTTTATTTTTGGACCTGTGTATCAAATCTTTTTTGTTAAAAATAAGATCAATATATATTCCAATGCATGTGGCTATTGTTGCTCGGGACGCGAGTGTGGACTTTATTTTTTTTCGTTTGCTGGGAAAAGGCACGGAATCCGGTCTGTGTGCCAGGAGAAAGGAGGAGGAGGAGATAGAAGTGAAACATTGACTTAGCGATGAGGTTTAGAATGTTTCTTCCATTCTGTATTACACTGGATATTAGCACAAGTTGTGCAGCATGGGTGATGTATGGGGAAATGTTGCAGTTTTTTTTCTTTTTATATGAGGGGGGGGTTGTTGTAATGCGGGGAAGAGATGTTTGAATGATTTGAAGGTAAGAGTTGCAGCTACCCATGATGCATGCTTTTCAGACTTTGAATGGTTACACTGATCTTTGTCAAACAACCTCATTTGCGGTCACTGAGGCCACCTTGGTGCAGAGCTCATGGAGCGCGAACGGGCGGTGATCCATTTCCAGCAATGTTTTTAAACGCGTTTCTTTTGCACTATGATAACTTTTTCAGATGCTCGTGTTTGGCAAAAGAAAAAAAAAGTCCGTGTCTTTTTTTTGCCTTTCCCCAAACCCCCCCGTATGTTCTTTTTTTGTTTTTTGTGTTGCTCCTGTTTTCGTCTCTCATTTGGGTTGGTGTGAAATTACAAAGGTCAACAATGTAAAAGGGCGACTGTAAGGACCTGTAATTTTTTTTGGAAAAAAACACGTAATCGGATTGTCTTTTAATATTGGGAAGTTCAAATCAGACTCTCGCTAAATAAAAGGGAGTCAGGAAAGAGAAAAAAAATGTTGGTCTTACCCAACAACCGATTCATTAGTTTTATCTTTTTGCAGGAAGTAATTTATTCGTGCGTGTGGATCGTGTGATTCGAAAATAAGGGCAATATCTATCTATCTCATTCTGTATAAAATAAACATATGAGAGGGTTGAAACACGTGTCGGAGAAGCGAATGTCCTCCCAGATCCAAAGCAGTGAAGTTCATCCAGTTTTTATCCAAGCGATCCCATCTTCAGGATGTCAGTGAACAGTTCCATTGCTACTAGTAAAGGTGTTGATTCAAACGCGGTTGATACTTACGACAGTGGCGATGACTGGGAGATTGGAGTGGGGAATCTGATCATCGATTTAGACGCGGATCTGGAGAAAGACAGGCAGAAATTGGAGATGAATAACTCGAGTTCCAGCAGCAGCGTGAGCAGCATTGCAGCCCCGGGCAGTAGCAGCAGCAGCAAGGACTGCGGGGCTAGTGTCACAGCAGCTTCAGCCCTTTCTGAGAGCCTCAAATTTACCTCCGCTTCAGTCCAGCCACCCCCGGGAAACCCCCACAAGGAGACTGGCAAATCCAAAGTGAAAAGAAGCAAAACTTCCAAGGATGCTAATAAATCTCTCTCCTCCGCCGCACTGTATGGGATTCCTGAAATTAGCAGTGCTGGCAAGAGGCAGGAAGTTCAAGGGCGCCCTGGAGATGTTTCTGGCATGAATTCAGCCCTGGGTCAAACAGTTAGCAGCAGCAACAACAGCAGCAACAGCAGCGGTGGTTGCAATAATAATAACAATAACATTAATAATAACACCGCCCTTGGCAATTGCACTAAAAACAAAGAGGAGAAAGCGGGCAAGGGCTCGGGCAGGGGAGGCTCGAAGCGGGATAAGGACGCTGCCAGGTCTCGCAAGGATGGCAATAAGCAGGAGGTGGGGGTGCACCCTGGACAGCCCCCGATGTCGGTGCCGGTGACATCCGCTGCTCATCTCTTTAATTTCGGTGCCAAAAGCGGCAGCAGCGCCTTGCAGTGCTGCGGGGAGCCCCCGGCCCGCATCCAGGACATTAAAACCACTCTGGAGTCAGGAATATTAAGCAACCCTGTCGTGCTGAAAAAAGATGATGAAGTGCATGACGAGGAGAGTGCCCGGCCCACCAAGAAATTGAAAACCGAGAAGGTAAATGCACTTTTTTTTCTCTCTGGAAATTGTTGATGGTTTCTTTGTGTTTTTTTTAATGTTTATTCCACGCGTGATACGAATGCTGCACTGAGCAGAAAATCTCCCAGGGGGTGACGATACCTTACTAACAGTGATTTATACATAGCAAGGCAATATTTTTGATGTTTTAATTTGAGCACCCGCCAATTTTAATGAGGTTGGAGGTGTAATATAATTTGTGGTTGCATTCCTTAACGACTGTCCCAAACAGCTCGTCTTATAATGCATTTTAGTGCAATAACATTTATGATACAGCTTTTTTTGGAAGGCTTGAATAAATGAGAAACACCAACATTTTCACTTTTTTAAAGTAACCTGTTGGTGTTATGGTTATGTACACAAACAACGGAATAACCGCCGCAGCTGGAGAGAGATGAGGTTATTGTAATCACTACTGTTTGCCTTAAGGATGGGGGAGGTGCTTTGTAATCAAATACAACAGTAAACGCGTTCATAAAAGCCGGACTGGCCTTGCCTTTTTGGGATGTAGAGATGGTCGATATGATGCCTGACATTTTACTAACATGAGTGTAAGCATGATGATCTGTTATGTAGATGCAATGTGAAAAGGAAGTTTGGTCTTGCCTTCCATTGTTGGTATGCAACCTGGCTTCTGATATGTTGGCGATTATCCAGACAATGTGGAGTTTCTCAGGAGGCTCTGATCCATTGTTTGTTGGATAATTATTGGGCTAGAGGGGTAGTGGGAAGTGTCACTGGAATTGTGCTATTTTAAGACGTCAACCACTTACTGTAAGTAACAGTTTTACAAACTATGCCCTCACCATTCCTGAACAAACCCTGCAAATGTCCTATTTTAATAGGCATGTTTGAATCAAAGCCCTAAAAACTGCTTTGCATTATTATGTACAATGAAGCTTTTGTGGTACATGATTTTAGTGAAGAAAATATAGAATGAGTGCTTTCAGAATAATTACTTCCTTTTAATATAATTTGTCAGGTACCTTGCAGTCCACTTTTCAACCTTTCTCTTCCCATTGGACTCAATAAATAGATTCCCTGTAATGGGAATTGGTCAGTTGAGTCAGAGAGAATTTTGTTCCTGTGCATAATAAAGTGAATTCCCAGTTTGTAGAGGTGGTGACCTTTGCAAGTCTGCTGATACTACTGTTGGAAACTTTAGACAGCAGCAAGATTGGTTGGCTTGGAAAACGGTATTTTATTTGATTAATTTTATTACTGGCCAACAGTTTCAAGGAGACATTTGAGATGTTAATAAAGATTTAAACAGTAAGGTGCAGAGGCTAATGTTCCATAGTCTATTAGCCATGAGAAGGGTATCTAAACAGATTCAGAATGAAGGAGAGATTGGCAAACTGTTTGACATGCATGACAACTTCCCAATCAAATCGTTTTACTTTGGTCTCCAGCAGACTGCAAATTGGGAGCCGTTTTAATCTGTGTTAAATATGAAGATAACTTGCTCTAATCAGTTCTTCACAATGGCTGTGGTTAAAAGTTTCAAGACCATTTGATTGAATTTGCTGGCTGTGTAGAATGCAGAAAGCTTTGCTCCCTGCACCCCCAAGCGTTTTTAATCTTTCAGCCAAATGTTCAGATTCAACAGTTTTGTTTAGCAGGCAATCTGTACATTTTCAAATCCTAGAGGCAGGTGTCATGGCAACAGAGATTAGAGTGGTGTGGTTTCACTACTCTTATTTCTCCCTTATTTATACCTCAAATAGTCTCCTGGGGAAAATGTTTTAGTGTGTCTATTCCTCAAAACAATCAAATCAGTGTGTTCAAAACCAGTGCCTGCTGATATTCAGTCAGTGGGTCATACACAAAAATGTCCAGTATTGCACTGCCACTTGCTTGTCTTGATTCTTCCCAGATATAATTGACAAGCACATTCTATTCATTCTGGCACAGCCTTGTTTTCCTTTTGACTGCTTCAGAGATCATTCAGATTTAAATTTGCAGCAGGCACAATATATGACTTGAAGGAAATGAAATGATACCGATACATAACCCATGCTTTTAATGTAGACACTTGTGTCTTGTACTTGTTATTTATTTGAAAGGTGAAGGCACGTTTTGTTCAACCATGTTGTAACAAGCTGTGAAATATTTATACAATTGTCTGGCTTGAATGAAGTTGAAGACAAATGTGTCCAACTATACTTGTGTGAATAGCAGGTTGCTAAATGTTTAAGGTAAATTTTTATGAGTAATAGTCATTGTTTAATCTCTGCAATGGGCTTGCAGGTTTATTCTTGGTCTGTTTATTCTATTCGTTTGCTGCAGTTAGTCATGTAAAACATGATAAATTGGAGCCTATTAAAACTAATTATTTTTGTGACTCTGTTTCTGCATGCCTTTTATGCATAAAACCACAAGTATGCTGTAAAACCTGCCACTCCCTACAAGTATTGCTCAAGTAAAAAGCAGCCTATAATTTGAGTTGTTTGAGCTATTTCTATGTAGCCCATTTTTGTGGTTTAGCTGTTGCTAACATGTCTGACTTAAGTAGACTTGGCAACACCAATAACCACTCCTAGTATTTGGCAAAATCCTTCTAATATAGGATTAGCTAATAAAGGCTTGCTAACACCCAGTGCTTCTCCAGTAGTTAGTAAAATTTTGCACTTTCATTTATCTAGTCAATGGAATAGAATAATGCATTTGATTTGGTCGTGGTAAGGTATTAAAAATGTGAGCAATCACTGACTAGATAAATTGATTTAATTGTTAAAGTACGTTACTGCAATATAGAGCACAACTGGAAAGCCACACTTTATACACCACACAGTAGTTTTCTTGCTAAGACTGACAGTTGACTGTAAAAAACATTCTGCGGGAGCAGGCTTGAGAGTTCTCATAAGGCTTGTTAATATCTCAGGGAGGAATTTGTCACCCTTTGAAAGTGATGCAGTGATACATTTCACAGCTGAGAATTGCGTTCACAAATGACTTGACATACATTAATGCTAGCAACTATTTTTCTGTTGCATTAGACCACTCAGTAGAAAGGAATGGTATTGAGAGTAAGTTGCAGCCAGAAGCACATTTTCTACTGTGCCTTTTGTGTTTGTCTTTGTTCCTGCTGATTAATTGATTGAAACATACATTTACCTTCCTGTTCTTTGTATACTGCTGTTACTTGTCTGTTACAGTCTGTAGCAAAAGACTGTAAGTGGTAAGCAGTCGTTAATGAAGAAAACAAAGGACGCATTTGTTGAATGTGGAGCGGTTTAAAAAGCTGACTCAAAACTCTGCAAGAAGAGATTTGGCTGGTGAATTGTACCACAACTAGCACGAGTCCCTGTAGAACAAAAAACTCTTCAGTCTACTTAATGCTTTGTAACTTTGAATAGTGTGACCAGAGCTTTTTCAGAAGGGGTGAATGAGCTGGTGGCCTTTGACTGCTGAGAACTTTCTAGACGAACTTGTCGTGACCTCCCAAGATCTGTGAGACCAAAATTGCTATTGATTTTTTCTTGCCAATGGGCTGTTTTTTTAAATTTCATTCGCAAGGTAGTATGCATGTAAAATGCTTTTTAGAGATCATAACTTTAAAAGGAGACCAGACTAGAACATATCATCAAAACTTATTGTAAAGTTCAATTTTGTGTGTTACATTTTTATGCCTTAATAGTTTTTTTGATATGTTACAGCAGGGACTAAGGTACAAAAGTGGGCTGTGAAATGCCGAAGGGTCTCCTGAGATCATGAATGGCTCAGTACAAATGCACGCCTTTACATTAACCAAAATTGAAGCTGCCAATTGTTAGTAACAGATTTCGGAGGACTGTTGGGAGAAAGCAAGTCACAAGAGTCTTCGGGGAGAAGAATTATATGTGTTTTCTTTAACTGCTATGGACTTTCTGTGGTATAAGAACACAGCCATTTATGTGCAATTGATGGTATCTTAGGTGCTGAGCAATGTGGGTTATGGTGAGATGATGACACAATCAGGTGAAATGTTCAGCAAGATCCACCTCGACATCGAGGTCATTTCATCTTGTATGCTTTTCCCAAGTAGTGTGGTGAGACTTTCTCTAGGCAGTGATGAGTTCCCAATTGTTGTTCATTATTGCTTGTTAAACCCTTTGCTAACAACTTGCCATGGGTTGCGATTTTAACTGATCTTTCAGGGAAAGGCAGTGGCCTAATGGTATTATCATTAGCCTATTTCATCCAGTGACCCAGGTAGTGTTTTGGAGTTTCAGGCTCAAGGCCTACCATGGCAGATGCTGGTGTTTTCGATGAAAATTGAATTTAATAATATCTAGCATTAACAGTGCCGCAATGAACATGAATCCATTGCTGATTGTCAGGGAAAACTCACCTGGTTCACTAATGTCTTTTAGGGAAGGAAATTGCTACCCTTATCTGGTTCTGGCCTACGTGTGACTCCAGACCCACAGCAATGTGGTTGATTCTGAAGTGCCCTCCAAGAGAATTAGGGTTGGGCAGCAAATTCCAGCCTGGCCAGTGATATCCACGTCCCATAAGTGAATAAAAAAAAGCTCACTACCATAGAGTTAGAAAATCTCAACGTGGAAACCAGGGCAGGTTCCTGTTGGGTTCAGTTTGCTTCTCGTTCCAAATGTCATGCTTGTTGGACACATGTACCAACGTTTTGGGCATGGTCTGGGGGCACCATCCACATACACAGTGGCATCCTACAGGGGTGCCAGCCTCTTTAAACTCTCACGGCACATGTCTGATCCACTTCAGTGCTGTACTTCTGGCTACACTGGCAACCAGCACTTCAATGCTGCAGTAGGGATACTTTGTGCTAAGGGACACATACCCAGCTCATGGACTGGGGCTGACTGCATCCCTGGTCTTTTCACTTGCTGTTAAAGTGCACTCTGACTCTGAGTCTACCTGGATGTCCACAACATCCTTGCCATACTTTGCGTTGCCTTGCTTTATTGTGCATTGTCCCCTCAGCTAGAGATACCAGGCTCATATTTCCACTGTCCTGC